AGAGGAGGCTGAAGGTCTCTGGGGGCTTGGAGTTGGGTCCTTGGGGCATTTTTAACCTTTGTCTAGTACACATGCTGTTTGTCACTTGTATCAGTGGTGGTCAACATGGTCCTTGGAGGAAAGGATGGAGACTGGGGAGAGCTGTGCTGCTGCAGGGTGAGGTAGGCTCCATGAGGGAGCTGCCTCCCACCACTCCTGGGCAGCAGGAATTTTTCGCTATGGCTGTGTCAAGGCCCTGCCCTTCTGGGCTCTGAAGTCCAGGGGGAGGTATGTGAGTCCCTCTCTGTGCTTTAGTTGAACTGTCACACTGGTGGGGCATGATGTGATGCTGACCTGACAGCACGGACCTCTGGTGAGAGGGAGCCCAGCCCTGCTGCATGGCCCCTGCTGCTTCCACATCACCTCCAGGAGCCCTGACCTGGCAAGTTCACCTAAGGACTGAGGTGGCAGAGCAAGATGCAGTAGTTGGTGCTTCCAGTGCTGCCAGAGTAGCCGTTTAGATGAAGAGCTGGCTGCTTCCTGGAGCTCTCTGTGTTGTTCCTGGATGATGCTGGTTGTACATTGAAGCTTCCCAGGGCTGCTGGGGGTCCCTGCATCCACCCCTCTGCATGTGGGGCTGCACCCAGGCTCTGGCATGCAGGGAAGCTCCCTGCTTTTATTTCCAGGAATGTTAATCCTGAGCAGCTCAGTAGAGCTGGACAGAAATCAACTGGTGTGAGTGTAAGACAGACATGACCTGGAGGGAGATGAAGGGTGAGGGTGACCTAGCACTGCTGTGGATGCAGAGCTGTAACATGAAACAAGTGGCTGGCTAGAAACAAGTGTGCTCCAAGGAAATGTCTGCTCCAAACATTTCATGGAACCTTAATTATGGCTTTCAAGGCTGCAGCAAGAAATAATGTCCTTAGGAGCTTTAAAATGCAGATATGGCTGTGGGCAGAAAAGTAGGAGTTGAAATAACTGGATTCCAATCCAAGTTTTTTTCCCTGGAGTTGAGGGATTGCTCTCTCCAGCTCCCCGTTCTCCCCCCCTTCTCACATCAGATGGAATATAAATGTCACTCAATTTAAAGCCTTTGGGTGCTTGGATGAGAGTCTGACTCCTGCAAGTGCTGAGCACTGGGCTGGGAGCTGCGTGAGTGCCTGGGGCACCGGCCGGTGTGCCCTGTGTGTGTGCCCTGTGTGTGTGCCCTGTGTGTGTGTGCCCTGTGTGTGTGTGCCCTGTGTGTGTGTGCCCTGTGTGTGTGTGCCCTGTGTGTGTGTGCCCTGTGTGTGCGTGCCCTGTGTGTGTGCCCCGTGTGTGTGCCCGTGGGGCTCTGAGACTGATGGAAGCTCATACCTGCCGAGAGGTCAGCATTTCCATTTAAATGGGATTTCTGCCGCCTGGCTGTGGCAGAACGATGGGGATTTTGTTGCTCAGGCTGCAGACATGTACTGTACTGTACTTCAGTGTTCTGGAGCTGCCCAAGAACCGGAGGAAAGGAGAGGAAGGAGAGACCGGGACCGGGTGGGAGGTGCCTGTCCGGGCTCCAGGGCAGCTGGGCAGGTGTTTGCTGTGAGACATGACGTGACTGGAGTTTTCCTTGTTGAGGATTAATGGTTTTGGTGAGATGTCCCATGAATTACCCCGGAGGGGCCCCTGCCAAGCAGCCAGCCTGACACGGTGAGCACAGCCCTGCCATGGCAGGGACAGCTGGGGAAGAGCCCCTTGGGGGAGAGACTTGTGCACTGCTGCTGGTGACCCTCTGCACCAGGCCCCGGTGGTGGCCAGGCTGGCAGGAGGGGCTGGGGAAAGGCCCAAGGCATGATGCTGGTGGCTGATACCGTGCTGGTGGCTCTGCCCCACTGCCCAGGCCTCCCGTGCTTGGGAGGAACCGCCCGGCTGCAGATCTGCGGGGGAGGCTGTGAGAAGCCCGAGGGCAGCACGGGGTGCAGGAAAAACAAAAAAGGAAATGACTTTTTCTCTGGTGTGTGTGTGTGTGTGTGTGTGTGTGTGTGCATGCGCGGGGACAGCGGGTGCGGGTCCCCGCCCGGCACCG